ATCGAGATTTGTTAATTAACTGTTCGTTTGAGATTTAATAAACATTTTTTTTATTCCTTTCATGTGTTTTGTAACCAATAATCAAATATTTTAAATTAATTCACTACCGTTCCCCTTGTGTTTGACACCCTTGCTTATCAAAGTTATACTATACTCGATCGGGTTCACTTCCTGTAAGGTGTGGTTTAGATGCGATAAAATAGGAATTATAAATAAAAAACCAGTGCATTGAATATTACACATCAAGTTTTTGGCGCCGTTACCGGGGAACGGTTTTCAATTATTTTAGTTTATTTGATTATTCATTATTTTTTTAGTTTCATTTTATTTTTATTTTATTTCCGTTGATATCATTTCACTTGTTGGGAAGGTTCTTGTTGTTAATTGCAGGTATTTGGGATCATACGCATTGCTTGGTTTGCTTTTTGCATGGGTTTCGAGATTGCAAAGCGATTAGGGAATTCTTGACCTTGTTAGCCTACTAATTTGGTGATTTATCCAACTCAATCTATGAGGCGTACTATAGCAAGGCGTGTCATGGTGGTTAAGTGGAAGACCGAGCTCTTGCTGTTCTTGACTAGTTTGGTCGTTTCTTGTTCTATTTTAGTTAATGGTGTAAAGAATCAAGGAAATAGTCTTAGGGTTCCCGAAAGTTTTGTTTCCACGAACCATTTCTTGCATGCAAGGGGCTTAAATCAACAATTGTTGTTTGATTTCGACGAAGACGAGTGATCATGTTATCTCATTTATTTTTATAGCATGTCACTTGTTTGAAGGTTCTCACTGTTGCAGAAATTAAAATATTAAGAGTCTCCGATTGAATTAGATGGAATAAAATGGAAATTAAAAATAGGTAAAAGGGAGATTATTCCAGTAAAAGTATGCCCAGCGTAGACGGTTTTACGCCAAGCGTACTCACATTTGATCGCAACTAAGTTTTTCTTGGAATTGGACTTACGCCCAGCGTAAGGATTATCTACGCCCAGTGTAAGTCAGCGTCAAGTAATATACTAATCCCTTTGACTTTTTGTTCTTCTACCATTTTTGCTCCAATCCTATGCTACGCTGAGACGGTCGAATCTTTTCACAAAACTCCGATTTTCCTTCTTTTCTTGTAGAATCGGCACCGAGGTATGTTCTTTGGTTACCCTTTGGCTTAAATTTGTGTTTAATTTTCTATAAATTGGTTAAATTGAACTATTTAGAAATCTAGGGCTTTTGCATTTCTTATAATTGGGTCGATTTCGCATGAATTTTTGTTTTGATTGTGTCTTGGTAGAGCGATTTCGATCATTAGACTATACCCTTGAACTCAATTTGGCCTAATTCCCATGCAATAAACATCGATTTGAGTTTATGGACGTACACTTAGCGTACACCCTATATATATCTTGTGTGTTTACCCTAGATTGTATACTGCCCTGCGTATGTGCGTAATCTGAAGGCATGGTTATGGGTTATGGCATTGAACGACAAAGAACGATTTGAGCATCTGGACGTACGCCCAGTGTACGCTGGATGTACGCCAACGTAAGCTCTTAACCAACATCCCTGTTTTTCATTTAAATCTGATTAAAGCTATGAGTATTTTGTTTTGGTTTTGTATTGTTCTTATTTTTGCAGATTATGACTCGTAGAACTCAAAGAACCAACCCACCGAGGACGTGACCGATCATAGTTTCTTGCAATTCTTGCAGACTTTGAAATAATGAAACTCGGGCCAAATATGTGAATAATTTGAGTTTGCTTCTTACAAAGGAGATTGACATAGCACCTTCATTTGATTGGGGATTGGCGTCCCGAACTGGACTTGATGAGCTGATCTGTGAATTTTTATGATACACCCATTCAGACGCGAGTGGTGTGCCTTTGTTCGTATGCCAGGGTTGGGACAGATTTTTCAGGATTCAGGAGCCCGTGTATCAAGAATTTTTGCTGGAGTTTTGTGCTACAGTTTCCTATGATCCTAGGAAGACACCCGACGACAGGACGACCTTCTCCTTTAGACTTGGTGGTGTGAGTTAGGAGTGCAGTGCGATTGAGCTTGCCACTCGAGTTGGGATATATACCATATACAAGACGAGGGGTGTCCACTTCCCGACAATTCCTTGCTGATTGTCTCACGGGCCGGCCGGATGTACTATAATGAAAACACTTTCTGGGCGGAGATTACTGGGGGAGTGTACACACCATCTACTGCTCGGGGGAGGATGATTTGGTCTACCACATATAGATTGTTGTACCATCTGATTTCTATGTTCCCTCACGCACC